TTACTCCCTATGTATTTAAAAAAGGACTTCTTGTTATCTTTGATCCTGGTCGCTAGTCCTAGCTCTGTCTCCGCCTTAGCTTTCCTGACAGCCCCCCTACAGTCTCGAGCAATGGATGTATAATCCTCCTTGGTGATGGCTCCTCCCCTCCATCGGGTATACGCCTCCTTTTTAGCTTTCAAACGTTCCTGAATTCCTTTAGTGAGCCATGGGGGCTTTTGAGCACTCTTGCCCCCTTTAACTTGTGTTGGGACTGTCACCCTTTGGGCTCGGAGGATCGTCTCCTTAAGGAACGACCACTCGTCTCGGACTCCCAACTCCCCTACGCCTTGGGACCTCAGTGCCTCCCCAACTAATCTCCTTAACTCATTGAAATCAGCCCTCCTGAAGTCAAGGGCTGCTGCCTTGCTGCAAGCCCTTGACACCCTGCGCTGGATGGTGAATTCCAGTAGGCAATGATCGCTATTGCCCAGGTGGTCGAGAACCTGCAGTCCCCTCACCAGGTCATCGCCTGTGGCCAGGACCAGGTCCAGCAAGGCATTTCCCTTGGTGGAACTGTGCACCTCCTGGGTTAGGTGGAGGTCCTGTACCTCAGCTAGGAACCTACATGAGTGGTTAGACCTGGCTGACTGCTCCTCCCAGCAGATGTCCGAGTAGTTTAGGTCACCCATGATGACCACGTCCCTTGACCTAACTGCCTCCGCAAGCTGACCTGAGAATTCCCGGTCCAGCTCGTCCTAGACCTAGCAACCTCAAAAGACGTTTTACTTTCAAGTGTGAGAAAACTGAATCAAACTGCCAAATAACCAGTTATGGTGATGAAAACTTTTTTGCATCTTGACTAACCTACCAACAGATCTGAACCAGCTGAACAAGAGAAAACATAAAATAACCCCTGAATTTTGTCCTACAAAAGGTAGAACTAGAGAGCCACATTGGTGCCTGCTAGCTTCTCAGCTTGATGCCAGGAGTGCCATAACTCACACATGAGAATATGAAGAGGTCACTTGAAAAAGTCTAATTTCTTGACAAAGCCTATGAATTAGGGACTTAAACTTCAGGGACTTGATGCTGCTATGTAATAATCTAAGAATACTGATGTGTAATAATTTTATTAATCCTGCAGTGCAAGTGTCAGGGAGGCAGAACTACTCCATTGATATTTTGGGCTATTAAGACTTTTCCATATGAATATACTGATCTAATTTAATAGGAGTTTTTTTGGAAAAACAAGCAGAAAGGTAGGTAGCATAATGGCTGTAGATAAGCAGGTTTCCAACGAACACTTAGGAGCAAATGAGTAGCAGACAAGATGCCTTCCAGGCTGTAGCTAAAGTTATACAGGTTTCCCTCACTTTATGTAGGTTCCGTATGTGCGAATTCACTCTTATGAGATGACCCTTTTATACCAAAAATTTGTTATATTCGAGTTAAATTCACTCTTGTGCGATTGGTGTGGTGGAAGCCCACAGTCAGCTGCTTTGTGCGGTGCATTATGGGAATGATACGCACCAAAATATAGTCTCCTGTGTGGATCTGTGCTCCTCACTCGTTGTCTGTGACACGTGTTTCTGTAGTTGCCATCCCCATTATGGTAACATTTACCACCACCTTGTGCTCGTGTGTACTGTCTGCTGCTGGTGAGTACCAAAACTGTCTTGTAAAAGTGGTAGAAACAGGTCTGGAGGTCAGTAGAGTGGAAGTCTTCAAATGTATCCCTATTTGTTACATTGTAAAGTGGGTTCCCTTTATGCGAATTTAAGTTATGTGCCGTTTTCCAGGAACACATGAACAGTATAACGCAAGGGAAACCTGTATATCTGCTAGGCTCAGACTGGGAGATTAAAGGATCAGAGGGATGTAAAACAAACAAACACTCCCAGGAAAAAGATGGAGAGGAAGTTATGAATGACCTAGGACAGCGGTTCTCAATCTGTGGTATGCATACAACCAGCTCCTGGAGCCCACCACCAAACTGTGCCCGGCCCAGACCTTCAGCCCACGAGGGTGGGAGCGAGGCACTCATGTGTATACACACCCCAAACATACACTACCGCGCCTCACTCCCACCCTTGTGGGCGGAAGGGCCTGGCCCCACCAGCACGCAACTACTGGGCAGGGCTGCTGATGCTGCTGCAGACCCCGGGGACCTGCTCTGCTTCCCCAGTCTCCTGCTGGCTCCAGGCAGCAGGTAGGGAAGTGGTGGCGGCAGGGCTGCAGCTGAGTGGGACCACAGAGCATGGGGCAGGGGCTGGCGGCAGCACGGAGCCCACACCCAGGGGGTTCCCAGTATATAGAATTGGATTATTACAGAATAAACCTGTTTGAATTCGAGAGAGCACATTTTCTACGGGGGAATAAAGTGATCTGGACCTGTTGAAGGAAGTACTTGTTTCCAAGCTATTTTTTGCTACTCACCCCTGCCATTCCCTCCCCAAGAGGGCCTCGATCTGCCCTCCTCCTCAACTCTTCCCCCACCCCCCAACAGACTGACCTGCTGGTCAGGGCGGAGCAGGGCAGTGGCAAGGTAGATCCTGGATTGTCCTTTACTTCAAAAAGTGATCTTCACCTTCAAAAGGCTGGAGACCACTGCTTTAGAAAGTATGCATGAAAACCTGGCAAACCTCCAGTAATAAACTGGATGCCTATTCTGCTTATAAGATGCTACCATTCAGTTTAAATGCGCCTGGACTCCTAGAACACTTGTAGCAAAGTCTGGCTGCTCAAACACAACCACAAAGCCCTTTAGCCAAGGTGCACTGCAATACTTTCTTTTCTTCCATGGAACCTTCAAAAGCATACAGAGTAAGTGTGACATAAAGAGAACATTTTACTGTCTTAAATGCAGCAAGGAAATGCCACTTCTTTTT